TTTAATATGTATATTTTTATAGTAAAAGTTGATAATTATAATGAAAATCTTTTATGCAAAATTATGATCAAGTACAATACAAATTGACCTAAAAGAATGTCAAGCATGGAAATAAGGAGATTTCACGGTTTGATATTGTATTGTCGATTTATTCTTTATGCAATTAAATATTAATGACACGTGATAATTTTTGCACCCTATTAAGCAACAAGTCTCCCTGTTTGACCATAGCTTGATATTGCCAATTTTTGCTGTCTGGTCTATTGGTTTCTACTACTCCACCGACGCGATCGACTTTGCAATGCAATCTTCCTGCTGCAATGAAACGCGATAGTTCCCTAAAAAAAAAAAAAAAATTAAAATATTATAAGTACCGTACGTACATTTCGATAATTAAACGAAGGGTTGCAGAACTTACTGATCAATGTATTCTACTGTAACACCAAAAGCTTCTGCCATGTATTGTAGTGTCAGAGACCTGTAAGATTCCAATAGTTGCGTGTACGCGAGAATACGCATTTCTCTAACGTAATACCGATAATGAGGAAATATTAAGTAATCCCTACGTAATAAACCTTCGACGTGAGCTAAAAAACGAATTAATGCGTTACTATATAGTCTAGATGCTACTTATAGTTCGCGAATAAAATGTTTGATTACCAAGATTCTTGAAGAAATCGGCATAGTGGCAATTGTATAAAGAAAATAAATAATCTTTGACATCCGAATTACTGTGAAGTACCTCCAAAATATCAGAACCTTTGATAATTTTATCTCTAAGTTCGTTTCTAGGTAAACTTATCATACTAAAGTATACTGTGTATTTGACAAATGTATTGTAATCCATTAATTCGTAACTTGTAAATGTACTAATTGTATCCAAAAAGAAATTTGCAGCTTCTTTAAAATCACGAACAGCTATACAATATGTTCCTTGATATACTTTTAGACGGTTTCGTCTATCCCAATCGCCACCCTCTTCTATTAAACTAAAACAAAACCACGACAATGATATCTTTCAATTCTCACATATGCACATTTTAACATTTTTTATACCTTTTAGCTTTTTCTATGTTTTTTGTTATATGATCATGGTCCAAATAAAACAATCCAATCCTAATATTATGAAATACAATGTCTAATCTGTGTCCCAAAGACACAGTTTTATCATAAGTCTTTCTAAATGCAGAGATGGAACCTTCTTTATCCCCTATTCGACAAAGATGTTCAGATTTTTTAAGATTGGCTTCACGAACTTCCATTTCACCTAAATTCTTTTCAGCATCCTCAATCGCATCATCCAGTGTTTTTAATTGTTCCATATTGCGAGCTTTCATTGCAGACAAAAGGGCTTCGTCTACTGTCCAATCCAAATCTTTACATACTTCTTCATAAAAGGGAGCCATGTCTACAAAACGTATTATGTTACTAACCAAGGAGATTTATTAATAATAAGGAAGGAGTTTAACGAGATTTATTTGCGACTTTAGAAACCATATCATACAGGACATTCAATTTTGAAGAGGTTAGAGTAAATGTCATAGTAGAATAATTTTAACTTTACCGTATGTAAACGAGTTAATTAAGCTTAAAACGTTAAGCATTAGTAAGTTAAAAATGAAAGTCCGTTAAATAAGTAATACATCGAAGTAATAAACGTTACGAAAAAAGATGCAGTCTCACTTTCTGCTTTAATGGCATCTAGCAGTTTATTCTTTAACAAAGGATCATTTTTGTGTTCCGGGAGGCTCAATAAAAATTTCGTTTGAGCCAACTCTAAATTCGGGTTTTTCTCCAAACCCTCTTCTTCCAGAATCTCTATTGGCATTATAAACTGATATAATTACAATTAACGATAAAAACAATGAACCGACACTTTGTACTTTGCAAAGCACAGATTAAACAACGTCAAGATCAGTCCTGACTGTCCAAGAATCATCTAAACGACTTTGTCCCCCTCTACGTGGCACGTGGGTGCATCATATATGTAGATATCAAATGAATATATCGAGGAAAAACATCAAATATAGCAATAAATACATATTTAAGAAATACAAAATAACAGCTAATCACAGAAATATAATAATATTGGTTAGAATATTAGTGGCGCCATCGGTGGGAAAACGCTCAAGTTTGTAATGAAATTAGTTCCCCTTGTTATTCCTAGATGGTGCCATTAACTAAAGAGTCGATAATAACTGTTGTATTAAATAACTATTCATAAAAATGATTTAATTGATATATTATTATAGTGTTATAAAGCAAAGAATCATATTAATTAGTATATCTATGAAAATTAATGAAAAATTGACCAAATATATCGGTGGCGTCATCTTACGAAAACGATGAGAATTATTTTCACTACAAACTTGGGCGTTTTGCCACCGATGGCGCCACTATAACGCGCAACCCGCTACATTTGAAAAGAAACCACATGTGGAAACCACGTAATACTACATTCTTCAAATTTAAATATTTAAACATCTTTTATAAATACCTAAATTTTCTCTCAAGGTATCGCGGAGGATTTCATGCACGAAAGTGTGCAAGATTCCAGTTTGGAAATTACTACTTTATCCTACCTGATTAAAGAGTGCTTATCTATCTACGGGTGTATACAAAACGTCCGCAGTACTAATTGTTTAATACGATAATATCTAGTTTATTAGTTTCTTCTTCGTTCGCTCGTCTGATTAATTACGAAAGTCCAAACGAACGTCGGCACGCAAAAGTCCGATGTAATATCAACGTATTGCCCCGATAATGTTCTCGGATAACAGACACCAAAGTGTCCGTTATCTGACTCTACCGAATGAATAGTCAGCATACCCAAGAACAATCTTCGACCACCGTGGCGATGATCCCGATGATCAGGTGTTTCGCGATAACATTTCATTTTTTTCGTAGGTCTAAATTTAGAACCAGATCGGAAACCTTTCCTTCTCGACTCCTATTACCGTAACGTGTAATTTTTCAAACCTTCCACGCGACTCGATTAATTAATTTTCTGCGAGAAACTCTTTACAATTCGCTCTTGATATTTGCTTTTTGGAAACGAATGAAATTCTCTAGTATTTATTCGTTCGATCGAAGGGCAGTTGAGGTCGAAAGAAGGAAGTTCTCTCACACCGTGTGAGCGATCGAACGTCGTCCCTCCTTCGCGATAAAGCACGCTTGGCTTTGTTTATTAAAGCGTGTGACTGATTCGAACTTTAGTTTTTACACTGAATCCCTACATCAGTCTTTGCCTACAATTATTTCCATTCTTCTTAACGTTGCCTTACGTAACTCCTGGATTGTTTTGATACCGTTTTCGGTATCTCTTAACTCTCATACCTGAGTAGACCTGGCCCTCCTACAGCTAGGGTACCTCGGGATCGCTAAACCCGTACTGTAGCTGCGTACGCGCATGCTACTGCAAGCTAATATTTAAAATAAAGATAAGAATGATTAAATAATGATTAATAATGGTTAAAGTGTTTGAAAGCTATTTAATCGGTTTTCCACGTCTACACAGTGTGGTCGAAAAACCAAGAATGCCCTCGTCGCTTCCTTGCGGAAAGTTTGACTTTCCGGCGACGATCCCTACTCCTCTACATTTTGGGGCTCTAGGTTGGGAAAGTCTATAGGGTCTCGTACACGCTTTCCCTTGACTTTTCCTGAGTCCCAACATCCGGTTATCGTCAGCTAAAGTGGCGACGTTGCCGTTCCGTCCTACAGTGGCCATCCTTTCTTACGTTGTCGCCGCTCGGCTGAATTCGAAATATTCTTACGCTACAGCCCCTGAGGGGATAAAGAATGCCTCGAAACGAAACGTCGCTCTGTTTAAAACAGTGAACGATTCATGTCTACCCTTATTGCTATCCCATCAGATCGATTGCAAACTTCGATTAAGAGGGCTTCCCATAAAAATTCAACTATTCACTTAGGTAATTATTCAAACTCTCTTTCGACGAAAAAGTAAAAGGATCTTTCTGCTCTGTCTGCTTCTTTTCCTTTAATTAATTTTATTCTTAAAAATTCAATACTTTCTCGATCTCTAATTAGAATACATTTCGTGGTCGCAGTTCGGAGGGTCGAAGATCTGTTTCTTCCACGTTTCTAATGGGAATTCTCCGTCGTTGCCATCGAATGCGATTAACGCGAAGCGAGGAACGTCCAAAGCTCTCCGCGCTGGCTATCCTGTCACCTACACCCTTTATCGCATTTCCGGGCGTTATTATGTCTAGGGCACTCGCGTCAGATGTAAACAAATACTCCGTATCGTGAACTGTCATCAGTCACTTCGGTCGGCCGTCTTCCGAGCGCCCAGATACGTGGCCAGGGCTCAGTCTGTAGATCGCGCCTTGAAACGACCGGTTTGAAAATGTTCTCTTCGGGTTCGTCAGTTGCCGCGCGACGATTATCGAAAACATTCTTCTCCGTTCGAGAAGATCTGCAATCCCTGGTGCGCGATTCTTTATCGAATACACGAACTCGAGGAATCTCTTCGCCTGGTGGAATGGTAATCGGTCTTTTTTAATAACAACCACGGATTTCTTTATATTCCCGCGTCGCGTCTTCGGTAAGCCGAGTATAAGACCTTTGAGATACGATATTTAAAGTATTATGCTCCGTTTATCAACGGCGCGGCGCGAGACGATCATCGATGCCACCGGATCACAGCGTTCCATGGTTCTCGCGTTGATCTTTCGCGGTTCCCATATCCTAGCATAATATTGCCGAGGAATACGATGGCATTATGCTAAGAATATGCGAAATCGTAAGTTCACCTTACAGAACCGAGCTTATCGTGGATTTTTTTGGATCAATCCTCTGGATCGTTCTCATCGTTTGGTATGCGACGACTCTTCTTATTTATTTTAGTATTGTCTTCAGTCTCTATCGAGCTGGGATTAAACAACCGCGCTCGAAATTAATAAACGTGAACTTTTGCGGGACGAAGGTTATCATTTCTCTTGACTCAGTTTATTTTTTTCATTCCCTGACAACGATGACGCGGAGAACGTCGCGAGTAGATGGATCCTCGCCACGGCGACAGACGGTCATGCAGTTAGGCTGTTTCGACGTAGAATCATCAAGATCTTGTCCAAGTGAAGAAAATGCGAGTGGCAGTGGTGGGCGCCGGCGTTATCGGCACGACGACCGCGTTCGCGGTGAAAACCGCTTTTCCGCGGCTCCAGGTGCACGTGTTGGCGGACCAATTTTCACCGGACACCACTGGTGATGGAAGTGCGGGCCTCTGGGGGCCTTATCTCCTAGGGGACACTCCCAGCGATAAAATACTGTGAGTATCTGTATCACGAATCTGATATGATCGCGAAATTATTTAAAATATTAGATGTACCGAAAAGTAACGTCGTTTCTTTTCCATTAAATTCAAACGAATACAATCTTTCTATTTTTAATGAATTATGTAATCACCCTCGTTATCAACAGCCCAGAGTTGATGAATAATAAAGAAGCATCGAAATTCATAGGTACGACGTTGCTTTCCAGTCCACCTAATATTAGTTTGAAACTTTGCAACAATTTTTTTAATCTCGCGAGCTCTCGTTAACAGAGCCTGGGCTGGAGCCACGCACAGATGGCTGGAAAACTTTTGGAAAAGCGGTCAAGCCTCGGAAACTGGAGTTTCCTTGGTTCCAGTTTGTCGCGTTACCAGCGACCCTAAAGGGTACATCGATTCCAGCTGGACCAAGTTGGTGTACGGTGCTCATAAACTGACGGCGAAAGAACTTGAAAAACTGAACGAAGAGCACAAGTCGAACTACAAGTAAGCTAACTGAATTAATTATTTTGGAGGCGCGAATTCTGTGCAATTTTTTGAAGTCATTCAAACTACGTGCAAGTGTCGTGTATAATTTTGTAGCTTTTGAAAAGCTCTTTCGTATTTAATTACTAGCTACATTAATCGATCGATCGTTTAATTTAATTAACACTTGCATATAAAGTATTTTCCATGATTTTACTAAAACGAACAAAAATTAAACGATCAATAAATGAATGTAGCTAATAATTAGATACGAAAGAGCTTTTCAAAAGCTACAAAATGATGTGCAACACTTGCATGTAAAGTAATTTTAATGACAGTAAAAAATTGCACAAACTGAAACAACGTAAAAAGCGCACGAGTTTTTGTGTTCAGCCTGATATTCTATTTTAAAGGGAAGGCTGGACGTTCGTGACGTTCACGAGCGAACCCGTCCGCTTGCTACCGTGGTTAAAAGAAAAATTTCTAGGATTGGGGGGAGAAGTTCGAAGAAGAAAGGTCCATGCTCTGCACGAATTGATCGACGACGGCTACGATTTGATAATAAATTGCAGCGGCCTCGGCGCGCGTGAACTCGCCAACGATAACACCCTTGTCCCTATCAGGGGTCAAGTTGCCAGGGTTCGTAAACACAGAAAACGAGGCGTCGTTGAACGAATTTCTCACTTACGGTTTCGTTGAAGGTGACAGCGTCGTGGGCGATGCACGGACACCTGGTTGACGACGAGGATTCGTATTACATAATTCCAAAGTAATCAATCGCGCTCCTGTGATAACGATGAGTCCATTCTCTAAACTTGTCCGCTATTTTATTGTATCAACCCTCAGGAAGCTTGATTTTTCCAAATTAAATTTTCAAAAAATATCAAGTGTACAATTCGATTTAAAAGTCCGGTACGAAATTTGAAACTTAAGGTTAAGAATTCGTTCTTGATTTTTTGCAGCATCGATACTACGATACTGGGTGGCACTCATCAAGAGAACGATTTCGATTGCACTCCGCGAGAGGAGGACTCCAGGTCGATTTACGACGGGTGCTGTCGAATTATGCCCGCACTCGAGGTAAATCACTTGCCTAAACGGGCTAGATGAAGTCGTACATAAATTACTAATAGATCAATTTCTATGTTTCGATTTACTCGTTAAAGGCGGTCACACCATCGGAAGAGTGGGTGGGTCTTCGACCAGGACGACCCAGCGTTCGTCTCGAAGCCGAAGTACTTCGGTCTCCTCGGGGCAAAAATTTCACGGTAAGAAATTCTGAATTAATTGGCAACATAAATTTGACGGGCTCAATCAAACGTTAATTCACGTGTCGATTCTCCGGTTTGGAATCATGAATAATCATTGATTTAGAAACAAGTTGATATGCGATGACTTTAAACAAAAAATAGTACTCTGTTAGCCTGTCAAATTTGTCTTCCTCCGGGATCTCTGCTACCAATTATCGATTTAATTTCAATCTATACAACGTTCGTCAGGTAATACACAATTATGGACACGGCGGGAGCGGCGTGACGTTGAGCTGGGGTTGCGCGTTGGATGTCGTGGCGATCCTGCGGCAAACGTGGAGACCGAATTCGAATTTGTGAAATCTCGGTTGTAAATATCCCGATGTTCGATAAACGAATAAAATTAACGTACACCAATTTGTAGGTGCTAATTTCAACTGGATGAAAATTATTTTCTAGTCGATGTCGTAGACAGGGTGGTCGCTAAAGGGTGACACTCCGTTCCGTGGAAGGTTTCGTGATGTTCTCTATAATTACGCGAACAGTTTGCGTCGTCGGGGCTGCAATTAAAGCGACGCAGCAACTTTCCAGCTGCGTTTTACGCCGGCTGTGCCGCAGTGGTATCGACAAAGCGTTGTCGCACGCTTCTAGATCGGAATCCTCTCGATCTTCTTCGTATCGGCACCCTAACGGCATACACGGGCGATATTTTGTTCGAATTGCGACGAACGGTACCGCGCGAGTGAAAAACACGAGACGATGATCGTGCAAACGCTACGAACTTCTATTCCTTTGAATCCAACGACGATTTGTACGGAGAAAGAGGAATACCGCGAGAAGGTGAAGTTCGAGAGACATTTGCTCGATTCTTTCGAGTTTTGACCGGTTTTCCCTCGCGAAACGGAAACAAAACAATTGAGACGAAGCATTTCTGTAAACGACAGAAAGTGATCAGCACCAAACAGCACCGCCCCGACTTTCGGGTTTTCGCGTGTCGCAATAAATTGACCGCAGTCCTTTCGCACGTCGAGTCACCGTTTCCCGACCACAATCGCTTGATCGTTTCCTAGTAAAATTCACAGATTCAAGTATAATGCGTCACGGTTTCGACTCGGGATAAAAATTGATGCCGAACGACGACGCATCATCAAAAATAATGAGATACGCCGGTCATGAACCTTGTCGAGCGCAGCAACAAACGTCACCTGACGACAGTGCGCAAACCCGCGGTCGTTGATACGAGGAAAGGCTGTTCGGTGAACGAAGTCACCAGCGGCTCCGATTCCAGCACCGACGTGCGATCGTGCAAGACCGTTTACAGAAATCGATGCAAGAAATTCGTGGTGTCCGACACCTCCACGAGCATCGCCCCGTTTTCCGACTCGGCCAAAGATGATCGCGAACCGATCGTCCGTAAACGTCTGTCCGAGAGGAGGGACGAGAAAGGTATCGCCGTTTCTAACCTAATCGGGATCGTTCCACGTCAAATGGACCATAGTTTTATCGCGATCTATATCGAGAACGTCCTGTAGCTCGCGTCTTCGTTTCTCTGATTTTCCATTTTCCATTTTTCGATTTGAAATTACGAAACTAAAACGCGATCGATCTCTTTACCTGGCAATCGTTGAAAATGATCACGGGAGGGATCGATTTAACAGGAGATCTTTCGTTCCTGGACACCGACGCGGACTCGCGGAAGGAGAACGACGAGTCGTCGACGAAGACGCGGAAGAAGAAGAAGAGAAGGTAAAGAAATAAGGGGAGCAATGCGAGCGTTTCATTTCTTTTTTAAATCTACCTTCCTTGGACAAGGTTCTTAACGATATGCACGAGCAACTGCAAATACGAAGCGGTGAGACGCGTGGCGGCGCGCTTCGGGATGAAGGAGGTGACCGAGGACAGCAGCTGGAATCTCTACTGGACGGATCTCAGCGTGAGCGTGGAACGAGCGAAGGACATGAAGAGGTACCAGAAGGTCAATCACTTCCCGGGGATGACGGAGATATGCAGGAAGGACCTGCTCGCTCGAAATTTAAATCGCATGCTTAAGCTCTTCCCGAAGGACTACAATTTCTTTCCGAAGACCTGGTGTTTCCCCGCCGAGTAAGAACGCTTCTTTAAATACGAAGCTGGTGCAAGTTCGATCTTCCGAACAAAATATTTCAGAACACGTGGGGTATTTTAAAGTAAGAGTAAAGTAAAATTTGTCTATAGTCTAGGTGCGTAGCCATAGTAAAGTGACTGGAGTAGAAACAAAGGAAGTTGCATTTGCACCGGTTTCATAATGAACTGCTGCTTATCGATATCCGTTAAACGTGTTCGTGTTCACTTTTTTATGAGATCGATGGAAATTTTCAGCCACGGAGAAGCCATAGCCTACGCGAAACTGAGACGCTCGAAAACGTTCATTGTTAAGCCCGACACGGGCTGTCAGGGACGCGGGATTTATCTGACGAGGAACTTGAAAGACATCAAGCCTACCGAGCGCATGATCTGCCAAGTGTACGTGGCCAGGGTATGCGAGCTTTAACGTTGAAGCATTGTTCGTTTATACCAGAGATAGGCGAAAATGTTTAACTAGACACAAGTCTCGAATAACGAATGAAAAGCCCCTATCAGTTGCTCGGAATTATAGAGTGAAATGTTTCTTGAAAGAAAGCTTTGCCATACTAAATATGTAAGTGCTTGAATTGTTTATAGGTCGAGTTGTAGCAAAGATCGAAACGTGACGTGTCATTCTATTTAATAATATCCACGTTGGTTCGATAATCGTGTTAATTATGTAATATTGTATCTGCACAGCCATTTCTGGTGGACGGATACAAGTTCGACCTCCGAATTTACGCGCTGATTACCTCCTGCGATCCCCTCAGGGTGTACGTGTACAACGATGGCCTCGTGAGGTAACGATACAATGGCGTTCGAAGGTATTAGGCTCACTCGGAATTACTATAAGAACCGGAAATGGAGGGTAGCTGAGACGATTCTGAACCACGATTTTCTTTACAAAAATGTTGTACGAAGTTTCGTTAATAGTTCAAAAAACGAAGCATTATACAACATTTTTGCAAAGGAAATTGTGGCTCAGAATTGTCTCAGCTACCCTCCATTTCTGGTTCTTATACTAACCCTTTGCACTCGAGGTCTTTTTCTCTGGTATCTACCAGCAACCCGAGATGTTTCTTAACATTCTATTGCTACGAGTTCTAAGCTATCGAGATTTTGGAACAAGGTCACCTTTACCTCATCGACAATCTTTCTATTGATACGTCGAGCTCCGAAAAAATTGAACCTAAAGTGAAACCTAATGGTGACTGAGAGTCACCTCTCGAGTGCAAAGGGCTAATTCTGGGTCACCCCGTATAATAACTTCAGATATCTGAGCGCATTTCTTGTCACACTGCAAAGACAATTCAGAGATCCACCAAAAATAGACGATACCTGTGCCTAATATTTACGAATTAGCCCTTCGCTACAATATTACATTTCCACGTGCTTCAGATTCGCCACGAGTCGTTACAAGGAACCCACGGGACACAACACGTCCAACGTGTTCATGCACTTGACGAACTACGCCGTCAACAAGCACAGTCGAATGTACGTGATCGACGACGAAATCGGTAGCAAAAGGTGAGCGATTCCCCGACACCTTTTCTCGGCAAGTTACTATGCGGATTGTACGATACAGGAAGATATCGACCCTGAACAAGTGGTTGATAATGAAGAACGTCGACGTGGACGACCTGTGGCACAAGATCGACGAGATCATTATCAAAACGATCCTCGCGGCCTATCCTATTCTCAAGCACAGCTATCACACGTGTTTTCCCACCCACGACAAAACATACGCGTGCTTCGAGTTGCTGGGCTTCGACGTGCTGATCGACTGGAAACTGAAGCCGTACCTTTTGGAAGTAACGATCGTTAATGTTCAACATATTTGTCTCGATTTTAAAAAAACGAAGAACTATGAATATAAACTACTAGGTTAATCACTCGCCGAGCTTTCACACGGACGCGCAAATCGACAAGGACATAAAGGAGGGCTTGCTGATGGACACGTTCGAGATGCTGAACTTGCAGCAGTGCGACAAGAAGAAGATCATCGAGGAGGACAGGAAGAGAGTCAGGGATCGACTGCTTCAAGGAGTGACCTCAAAGGACGGCAGGTAAATCGAATAAAAATGATTCTATGATTCATTCTCCGACAAAGGGTTAATTCGAAAAATCTGTTCAACCAAGTTCGAACGACTCCGCCCTTGGTACGACGAAGCTGGACAAACCAGAGGATTACCTGCACAGACAATTCAAATGGGAGGACGAGCACATGGGCAATTTCCGTAGAATCTACCCGTGCGTCGACAGCGAAAAGTACCAGCTGTTCTTCAAGCAGAACAGCGTCTCCGTGTTCCAAGACACGGTGGCGTCGAGGGCACGGGAGGAAGCGTCGAGGATCCAAAAGGAGGAGAACGAGGTGCGTTTTCTACTCTAAATGTATTCCGTTCCGAGGGAAATTAAACATTTCCAAAATTTAGCAGACGAGAATCAGGGAACAGGACAGCAAGAAGGTCACGGCTAAATGGAGCGACTCTAAATTACACTCCGAGAGTCTAAACGTAGCGAACTCGGCAGCTTCCAGCAATCAGCAGAGAAACAGGTCTGCGACCGCGACGAAGAAGCGCTTACCTCCTACGAACGTAAGTATAACTAGCGAGACAACGAATTTTTTTTTTCTATCGCAAAATCAATCTCCAGGTGAAGAACGAGACCTCGTTACCCGCGACGAACACCTTGTACTCGTTCGAGCCGGAGATCATCTGCGAATCGGAGGAAAGGGAGCGCGTGACGGCGCTGGCTCAAAGGGATTTCCTGATCAAGAGTTACGGGATGCTGGAGCAGATCTACATGGCGATGAAGAGGAACGGCACTTTGCGAGCCAATGACGAGAAGAAGTACGGGCTTTACGGGAGGCTCGGTTACGCGGATAATGCGAGCAAGAGCGCGACCCTGTGCAGACACAAGTGCCATCGTCATCAAGACGACGTGGAGGCCAGTCACTCGTCGCAGTATTGCCTGAAAGCAAGTAAAGTGTTTGGTAAACGATTGAACGAATAAACTGGATCGTGTCTAATCGAACATTGAATTTGAAACTGGTATAGTCTCGCGATGATTTTACAGGCTTCGTTCGAAATAATTGCGTGATTAAGTGTTTGAACGTGTTCCAGATTTCGAAGTGACCTGCAACGAGGCACCCGTTTACGTTCGTCCGAAGATACCGCGAAAATTTTGGATGGACGAGTTGAATTCGAACGACCAAGCCGGCAGGATCACCAAGGCTCACGTGGCACGCACCCTGTCCAACATAGTGCGTCTGCACACCCTCGAACGACGGAGGGAGTTCGATTTGTCGAAATTGTAGAGATTATGGCACAATGGACTACTTTGTAATTCTCTGGAAATATCAAAATTCTATGTTACGTAATGTAAAGAAAAGGAACGTTCTAGCCTTCTCCAAGCAGTGGCACCATTTCCAAAACAAAACAAAACATTTCGTGCGTCCGAAATACATGGACAATCGAATTTTGTATTACGTTTAATTGATCCCTTTTTTTTTTTATCGATTTTGATTCGTTGAATGTTTATTGTTTCTTAAAGAAAGCCGTTTGGCAAATTACGTGCTTGCAAGACTCCCGCACTGATAAATAAATATTTGTTACGTATTACTGTACTGCGAACAACGCAAAAGAATAAAAAAAAAAAAATCGCAAAAATTCATAAAACATAATTGTATAATTTATTCGAAGTAAAATTTAGTATAAACGGAATATTTAAAACGATACAAGAAAAATATATTTCTACGATAAACTTCGATGATAAATATATTTATATAGAAAGAGGTGTTCAAGTTATTCGTATTTTTCATTAATTCAGAGGAGGGAAGAATCGTGGTATCGAGTCTTGAAACGTACCCTTCGATGAGCGGATGTTTCGCAGGGTATACATAAAAACAATATAAAAACCAACATGGTATGGATTTGTTATTTAAAGTGCCATATAAATATGTACAACGAGTGAACATGTACACGCCGCAGAAAAAAAAAAGAAAAGAAAACTAGAATAATTCCGCACGCATCAATCGCGTAACGAAACGGTGAGATACGCACGCCAATTTGCAATACATGTAACAATCTTTATTGCTGAATATATATATATATATTCAGAGATCACATGATAGAAAATAATGCACGAACAGTACTGTTCTGTGTATTTCGTCATTTCGATTTTCTCTTGTTCGAACATCCGCAGTGTAACGACGAGAAAAGATTTAAAAAAAAAAAAGAAATTCACGATTAAGAGCTCGAAAAAATGTTAAGAGCCACTGCTCCTCCACGGTTTCCTAACAGGTCGAACGCTTTCGGTTCTCCGTGAACGAAAATAGTTGAACGACGATGCGGTGATTGTATTTGAAGGTGGTACAATGAGACAAAGATTCGGACACATATCAAATGCATTTGCTTCGAAAACAAATTGTACAGGTATTAACCGACCGTTTTAAACATAATAAGTCAAAGAACCTTTTTCTCTTTGCGTCTGCGAGAACGAGTCGTAGCGTTTCGTTTTTTTTTTAAAAAAAAAAAAGTAGACGCTATTAATAACTACTTAAGTTACGATTCGTTCGTTTGTACTAGAAAACACCTACCCGCGACCATTCGAGTCTCCAGAAACGCTCGTGTGTACCAGAGTTGGGGCAGTGATTACCTCGCGATCGCTTTCGTGAACGATCACTCGCAATTGTCGCATTAATCGTGTAATCGTTAATTAGATTTGTAAATCGCAATCAGTGAATCGATAATTCGTTAACTTTACAGAGCCGTTCCGTTTACTCGTTAACCACGACCAACGAATAGTTGGCGGATCGTAATCGTGAATTACAGTTTGCCTCGTCGCTCGTCTATGCACACCTGTCTCCGAATAACATTTTCCTCTGTCGTCGTTTCGTTTGCTTAATCCCCTTGCATTCTCGTGTACACAATTTTTCGTAGCAGGGAAAAGAAAAGAAAGCGTCGTTAACAACTTCCAGCGTGACCTTTCTCTCGCACGACGATGACAAAACATAGAATGAAGATACGCGAAGATGGTACTCTATTCGTTGTAATACTAATATGAGCATTATGTAGTTATAGGATCCTGTGTTTATGTTACGCGCGCGTAATATTCGTTAAAAAGGATTACAGTAAAACAAGCTTAAAGCGTGGATTACACGGAGAGAAACACCGACTAAAGGTTCGCGGAAGTGATTATACAGTTGGATCTGTTGGTAACAGAAAGGACTGTATAGTTACAGCCGAACAACTCCGATAGTTTGCGAAATCAGTTCTCCGTTTAATACAGGCGTCGTATAGTAAAATGATAACTAGCTATATTTCGTATATAAAAAAATTATACAATCCGTAGACTCGTTTAATTTTGCGTTAGCTGCCGACGGAATTTAGTCCTATGCTCCCACCGTCCCCGTTTCTGTCCTCTACCGCGTTGATCCTTCGAAAGGATATTCGTCTTTCCTCGAGGAAAAGATCTTTATAATTTTCTTGAAAATGTGCAAGCAAAATTATTTATTTTCAGCTCGAAAAAAAAAATCAATGCTCCCCCTGGATTGATAACACTCAGTTCTTTCGCGATATATTTTTGCATTAACGCCGCCAAGAGTACGACAAATGCAATAATAAAACTCGAATTTGATGAAAAAGGGTGCATATGTGAGACGTAACACGCGTACACGTGTGCGTGCACAGAGATTTCGTTACTCTAACTGAATACGACACTCCACTCTTTATATCGACGAAGTATCTTGAGCTTAATTTACAATTCGTACGTAATCGCTGTCAGATTACACGAAAACACGGGTATGCAAAAGATACAAGTGCGTGACACGTTTACGAAATTCGTAACGATTTAGTGGGTATCCGTTTTCAAGACTCCGATTCCTACTTTCGAGAACGTCACCCAAAAAATGGTCTGAATTTACGGAGAACCGTATACGATGGTTAAAAAATCGATACCCGTGCGTGTTGAATTAGTTAACAGCATAAACCCCGGCAAGAGACGATGTACGAGCTTCGTAAAAGAAAAAAAAAAAAAAGGAAAAAGAAAGCCGTCCCTTTCCCGCGTCCTTCCCTACCGCGCAAGCTCTCGACCGATCTTCGTAGACAGATAGAAATATTTTTATACATGCTGTATTAAAACTTCTATTTACATTTTGAATATACTCTAAACTATAAGACTAACATATTTCGAAAGCATATAACTGACCATGGTTTATACGAAAATACTTGAAATATAAAAATACGAGAATTGCAGCACTTTCATATGTAACATTTGGGAGCGAAAAACAACGCTTGGCATGAATTCCCTCAAACGTTTTTTTCGCAAACACCAAAAAACTTCGGTGACAATTTAATTGTACGAAGAAGTAGGTTTTAGGAAAATTTTTCCGATGTTTCGACAACTCGATGGTAAATATAAACATTTACACTAAAATATCGCGTTATTACATTGCCTGAAATTAATGTTGCTTTGTTTTTAAACATTGCATACGTGCATTCGCGATACTTCCTTTCGAAAGTATCGCTTAGATCCTCTGGATTCCTTTAATCAACGTGACGAGCCTGGTGACAAATGGTGACGACATAAATAAAAAATATTTATGAAATAATACGCATTATTAATTACTCATGGATATCAATTATAGTTTATCAGGAACGTTCACCCGAATCTAAACAAAACAAACAGACCACACTCGTTTCACCTCGAATTCCTGTGTATTTCCAGCAGTTTTGTATCGTCCATTGTGTATATATTTCGTTTATTTTATACATACGATTATCTTTTAATTTCGAATTAAATGCAATTAGCAGTAAGAAATCGAACGAGGTTCTTCGACATTTATATACTTCTTTAACATTTTTTTTTTTTTTATAAGTTTTTTTCATACTTTTCTTTAAAAAACGCGCGTACGTCTTCTGGACTTACTTTTTAATACGTTTGACGTTACAATGGCAATAGAAAAACAAACCAGCGATTTAAAAAATGAAAAACTCTCAAAGGTCAAGTCATAAATAAATTTGCAAACGGACGAATCCACTTGTCATAAACAGACTCAAAATCTAATTTAACTTTCGAACATATGTTGTTCCTGACATCTCATTCATCGATACGGCTCATAATGATACCCTAATATTTCAACAAGTTAAAGCTAAGATATTAACAAACAGCGCATGTTTATATTATATGCACGATTTCGCTCGTGCATTAGTGTATGCCGTACGTGAATACGTGTGTGCAATCGCACGCGCATATGTGCGTGTACAAGGTGTAAACGCTAACAAAGAGTCACTCGTGCGTCGCATATACGACGTGTCAAGAAGTGTTATGGTTTAAATTTAACCAAAGGTATGTTTTTCGACTGCAAGCACTTATCACACACCCATTCCGCGTAAACTTCTGCCGTTAGTAACTGATAAGCTGTTTCTGACAATCCTGTGCATCCCCTGGAATAAATTTTTGTAATACATAGTAAACGCGCATTATCCATGCGAACGAGACGCATGTGAAAGCGTAAGTTCTAGCTTACCTGTGAAACCAGAAATTACAACCAGATTCACAAAGTATCGCTTGATCGTTATCGTGCACTTCTTTGTGACACACTCCACAGGGGTAGATGGGTGGAGCATTAGGATTTTGCGGATTAAATACCATCGGTTGATCCGGTGGATATATCTATAATGACGTTACGATGATGTTGACTTATTCGTAAGGTTTCAGCATTATACTAAAATTAGGTTTTCCCATAAGTAATAACGCATCTACCAAGCGGGGTTTTAAGATCTCTCGTCGAGTCTGATCCAAAATTGATTCGTCGAAGAATTATCGGAATAATTTGTTCGCAGACATCTCGAAGAAACTGGAAATGTACGCGGAGAGGTGAAATAGATTCCACGAGAATTGCCTTCAGCTAACAAAGAATACATTGTAACGATTTATAATTTGTTACAATGTATAACCGGGAGTTATATCGATGGTTTTCACCAATGCAAGCTCCAGTTCCAGCACCAAAGCCTAGCTTACGGTGAGATATTAACGCACTGATTCATTTCGAATTGCTGAAACCTGGAGAAACGATACAAGGTGAAGTCTATTATCAGCAGTTAGGAAGAATACAACAGAAACTCCCGGTAAGAAGATTTATACTAATCGATCGGAAGGGCTTGATCTTGCAGTATGGTAACGCAAAATTACGTGCAGGAAGAATCGTACAGAGGAAAATTAAGGAATTGGAGTGGGAAGTACAACTACATCCTGCCTATTATTTAGGTTATTTAGCTGGGAAGAAACTTCAAAAATTCGACGAAGTAAAAGATCGTCATAAGTCATTTTTCTCCTCAATATAGCCAGAAGTCTGTAAGTAAGGCATTGAATCATTGGAGATAAGATGGCAAAGTGTTGCAGACGATAGTAGCGATTGTATCATTGATTAAAAAATAAAACCCTTTTTGACAAACTTGTTTATGTATTTCATTTCACATACGTCATTACTTATGGGAAACACTAATACATCATACAGAGTTATAAGCGATAAATCTAGCTACCTTTCCTGCAGAAACTGGCATTGGTTTTGGTCCCATTCCTGGTGGACCTTGAAAACCATGAGGTGGCATGGAGCCGCCCATGTTAATGGGATGACCCATCGGAGGACCACCACCCATATTGCTGGACATTGTACCCATTGGACCACCCATGTGAGCCATTTGATTGTGATGATTGATACTCATATTAGACATATTATTCATCGGCGGTCCGCCCATGTTCATATTACTTATTTGATTCGGACCGCTCATGTTCATGTTATTAGATACCATGGAACTCATGGTAGTCATAGGTCCATTCATGGGTCTACCTAAATTATTAAGATTATTCCCCATATGATTCGGATGCGGTTGAGATCCGTTATGTCCTAATGGACTGTTTACGCTGTTCATAGACGGACCGTTTAATGGGCTGTTAGGTGGTATGTGGCTATTAATGTTATTCATATTCATGGGGCCATTAGGCATATGATTGGACCCTCCCATCGTATTCATAGGAGATCCTAAGGGACCACCCATAGGACTTCCCATACTGTGACCCATGTTATTCATTGGACTACCCATTGGACCGCTGTTCATGTTATTCATCGGACTACCCATAGGCGGGCCGCTAAGTTGAGAATTGCCCATGTGACTCATGTTCATATGATTGTTCATAGTGTTCATAGGGCCTGGTGGCATATTCGGGCCCATGTTATTCATGGGACTCATACCACCAATTGGCGCGTGATTCATAGGAGACATTGCCCCCATGTGATTCATGTGATTCGACATGGGTGGATTTCCCATTGGACTCATATTACCCATGTTATGAGGCATCATAGGACTCATTCCGCCTATTGAAGTCAACGGACTCATGCCTCTCATGGGTGGTCCAGTCATATGATGCGGGTGGTGCGGATGCATATGTGGTGGTCCGCCGTGCATCATCGGGGATTGCGTCGTTTGAGGGGGCGTATCGTCAAAAGGATTACTCGCTACAATCGTGTCTCCGTACCCTGTTAAAGGTGGTGGTAATAAATCCTGGAAATACATTTTTTGTAAATACTGTACAAAACAAAATTTAAAAATTTTCCTTAGAAGTAAATCGAGATGAAACTAAAGTAAATGAAACTTACTTGGACCGTTGGAGGTTGTTGCGGAGTTGGTTGAGCAACGTTTGCATTTGTACGCCTTTTCTTTTTAGGATTCGCACCAGCAGGTGGCGGCGGCGGCGGATGAGGGTGAGCAGAAGATTCGGGATGCGGGGCATTAGGTCCCATGTTCACACCCATGTTCATACCTATACCCCCCAAAGGCATCCTTGCAAAGGGTGGCATGCCTGCGATATTGTGGCTCATCTCCCTCGTTCGCTTCCCTTATTTTAACATGCCGTATCAGCACCCCAATAGATTTAGGTGGCAAGTGTTTATTGTTGCTCCACTGTTATTTACAGATAAAGAAACATCGCAATATAAGAGGATTGGATTTCTACATACTTTCCTAGTTTTATTTACATCCAGCAATTAAGAAGTTACATATACATTCTACAAAGTTACACAATTACAAAAATATTAAAAAGTAATCACTCGAAAGGTACAGGGAATACATATCAGTTTGTACATCTCATTATTATTATTTCCGAGAGTGTATTTATAATCGTACATTTGCAATTGTATACACGTAAACGAATAGATACACGATTGGAGGTTGATATATTTGTGTATGCAAATATAAATAAGGGATATTTCAGTGAGGCCCTTACGAAATAACGAACGTTCGAGTAAAAATAATACGCGATTCGGAATAATAGCGCGTTCGAAGCAATAAAACTGATGCAAAAAAATAGGCAACCTCTTGAAAAGAGAACAAAATAAAATCCGCCGATGCCAGTTTCTCAGACCAACCTAACCTACACATCTTTCTAAACCGTTTATCAATGGTTCGTAGGTACGTAACAAGGGTCACAGAGATTAAAATGAATGCAAAATTTAGAAATAAAAACGATCCGTGTACTCACCAGGGCATTATAGTTGGCAAGATATCGATGTATACATGGCTTTCCTGTTTTTTCGGCAGGGACCAACACCATTGAATCGAGTCGTGCGCCTAGCTAGCTTTAACGGCTGGATCAACGCGATTCTTTGTTTCTCGCGTTTCCACTTCACCAGTCACATATTTTACGGCGGCACGGACGTATTTCACATTCAAGAACGCGCGAAAAGCACACGGTAAACACTGACGAGATGTCAAAAGCATACGTAGCAAGGAAACGCACGCCAGTCTTTCAGGTCGCCATTGTCGCGTTACGCGTGTCCCTGTAGTTGTATTGTTCGCATTACAGTATTGCGCGGTGCATCGTGCAGATGGCGGTACCATCTGAATTTTGTGGCGGAAGAATCGTTCCTTCGAAAATTCAAGTTTGCTACAAGTTCCGAAGTTCTTTAAAGAATTCGTAATTTTTCTTAATCTATACAAAATTTATCGAGAGAGTTCGATGATCTCAGAACTCACTGGACTGATTGGATCCTCCTTTTAAACTATGTAGCGAGGTAATTAAAAAAAAAAAAGAAATTAGAAACAAGATAGAGCACGATTATGGCAATTACTGTAAAGAATTTTCAAATAGAAACAAAGGTATTCCCCTGCGGAAGATATTATTGATTTATAGTACGAATATCTTCGTGGGGCTATATTCAAATCCGATATCATAAACACCTACACATAGCTTTCGAATGTAGGATTCTATTTGACTTGGATATTCCATCAATAATCATTAGATGGTTATATACACGCGATAAGGCATTCTTGTATAAATTATTATTATAATTTATTCCGAAATCGAACGTGTGCGAAAAATGTTCGTATAGGTAATTCCGACGTTTTCAATTCGTGGCAGAAGTTAGAGGACGCAAGTTCGTCCAAGATAGAGCAGTTTAGTTTAGAACATATACGTTACTTAGATGGTACTATTACGCGCGGTTGAAATTCTCTCTCGTTCTCCGTCTACCTTTCGGCAGTTTCGCGTGTTATGTCTTCCATTCGCATTAGGATCCAGGGAGTTGTCCCTGTAACCTCGGAGTAAGGTCTGTACACGTCACTTTAATTATTTGAGTTACATTAGCAAGTTAGCACGGTTTAACAACTGGAAAATGGGCTCGCTCACTATCCACTGCGGCCAGTTGCCTTGTACCTACTCGTAATACAGTTTGCGCAACTACGATTGAGTTGTCTTATCCTCTTACGGTTTTATTTCGATAGACATTCTCTGTAGAATAGGGATAACGTCGACGAACGTACGTACGACATTATTATGCGCGTTCTTTTCGGTCCATTGCGCGGATAAAGTTACTCTCAAGTCGTTCGCAACCGAGCTAACGTAAAACTTAACGATCGATCGGAGTTGAAAGTGATCTCTGTGCGTACTAGGGGGAATTTCGTCGCTGGCGAGGTATAATATTCGCGGTACCTTGTAAAGAGACCACTTTTAATATTCAGTTTCTCGCGAGTATATGTAGATCTTCGATACACGTGTCCGTCCAAAAGTAATTCCTCTCGAAGAAAGAGAAAAGAAAGAAAAGTAGAATTAATTTTCTCTTCACGAGCCTTCGTTTACTGGAAAATTCCTGGAGCCCACGCGTTCGATCCAATAACAAACTTGCAAGCTCCTAACTTTTAATTGCAACACGTTTTCAGCATTCTTGCTAGAAAACTGATGTTCTAGCTACAAGTTACTACGTAGATACTTCCCATATACGAGAATCGGGCAGATATTGGTTACTTTGCGATTAGTTTTGCGAGTGGTTATAGAAATGAAATAACTTTCACCCAATAAAATCTCACTCGAACAAAGGTGTACTTAAATAATGAACATTTCGCGTTTAACGAGTTAATCGTGGACGACGATCGCATTCGGTCTGATTGCTTGTATTATTCATTAATCAGGCCTACCGATTACTCAATAATCGTCCTCGTTAATCAAATTACATTTCGTCCAACACTGCCACGCACACGCACGATAGAGACAACCGTAATTAGGTCCATTGAACCGCAAGTCTTATCGTTAAGTAACGCGTCTATTTAACCCGGAGACCCAACCGAGATCAACCATTGAAATTTATCAGTCCCAAGACAGAAGGGACGTTGATAGTCGCATTAGCAACTGCATACATAGCCCGTGTGCCCCTAAAGTTCGCGCGTAAGGTAGTTCAAACGTGACATCGTAATCGCCGGACCCCGTTCCGTCCATCCAGCTCGACTTGGAAGAAATAATTCACGGGGGTCAAAGATTTATGGCACGCCGCGATTTACCGGAGTATCTCGTCGAATCTGGAACTATCGAGAGTGAACGTATCGTCCTCGTACCACGCCGGAAGTTTTGGATGTAGGACAGAACGCGGAGAACAAGAAAATAAAAAGAAAAGGGGGAGTACGACCTCGAAAGAAAAGAGAACGCGACACGCACAAAGGACGAAGGACAAAGGACTGGGTCGCCGTCGACAGGATGTGGCAATCGAAGAACGACGCAAATGGATTCCGCAAACAGCGGTATTCCCCAAACAAATACGACACGCCGACCAATCTGCCGCGCGCATAAACGTGATCTGCATAAGAACGAGCGATTTGTTCGAATTATAGAAAGACGTAGTCATCGATGAGCGTTGCATCGGTGGAATGCATCCGAGGATCCGCGTCGAATGCATGGGAATGCATAGGAGCTTGTAAAAATTCGCTTATGTTTTGTTATGCATTTAGAAGGTTGGGCTTAACGTGTCTAGATCATGGGAAAAGAGGATTTCATATGCTTTAACTGAGACGAAAGGTACGCATGAATTTTATTTTGTATATATAGGAAAGCCTCCTTAAATGCACAAATTTCTCTACGACAAGTGCACAGAAACCATCTCCACCATTCGTGGGTATACCCGTTGAGAGGTCCAGGAGTTCGATCGCGAGTAGTGTATTACATAACATGATCTGCGATCGGATCTCTCTCTTCTTTATTCGCTGTTCTTCTCTACGTTCTTCTCTACGCACGAGTTCAGTCCCGAGCTTGTGCATTTAAGGAGACATTACTGTAAATAGAATTCCTATTGTAGAATTCCTTTGTTACTCGTATCTCGAAATGACGCAAGAAGAGATAACTATAAAATAGTTATCGGTTAAATTAACGTGGGAGTAATCGACGAATGCTTGATTCGATAAAAAGTTGGAGTATTTACTCCTCATTTAATAATTGTAATGTTCCCTGGAATACTCGCGAGTTTTCCTCGCGTCGAGTGCCTACGTGCGCAGCGTAGCGTGTCGCAGATACGATGCACAGAGTTAGAGAGAAACCATCCTTGACCTGTTGTGAGCATTCGTGGAGACCCGATCGCGTGTCCCGTGTCGTAGAAAATTTACATTACCCGTTTCCCGCGAGCAGAGAAACTGATCGAGCCGTTTCAGATCGGAGATCTAGGTCTCCGTAGTCGAGGAACGGTTTTCAAATTCAGATCCACGACAGATGCTTCGGCAATCTCTCCACGTGAACTCTGCTTGGTTTCTCGAACGGATTTCATTTAACCAAAGCTGCAGAGGAAAGTTAGTCAAAAGCTGGTCAAAAGGTAGTTAAAGAATTCTCCAACTGCGTTCGTTTCGAATTAAAATTAGGGGACAAGGACTGTACCCTATCGAACAAGTGGGCAAATTTGAGTGTTCTACGATGGAAATACAGTGAAACAGCCAGGGAATCGTCATCGACCCCGTGTTTAGGTGACACGGTTTTCATTCACCGCGATGGAAGTTCCGCAATAAAACGAGGCCGCGATGGAACGAAATCACACCACGGGTTGTCGAATCTGATGGGAACCAGGCGATATTTACGCGTTATCGCGTGAGCTGCTATCGGATCCATTTTATCGATCATGATCGACGCTGACGCCGAAAGCCTCGCGAGCAATCGAGTCGCGCGACCGATGCAACCAGTTGAATTCAGCGTTCGAGGGTCGCGGGTCATGCAATCTTACGCCCTGGGACCACGTTTACACCGAAACCCCGCCACAAAGCGGTCATTAAACTCCATAATATTAAGCGGGTAAGACAATAGCAAGCAAGCCTCGAGCTTCGAGGTAGGATAAGAGCCACTTTACTGTATTTTGACTCCCTCCCGAGCACCTCTTGGACAGGATTCCTTGCATTTCTATTCCACGGGAAGAGATATTGTTCGTATAGACTCTATACTATAGAGCCTGTTGATATGCAAGCGTAATTCATATCTCTATATGTTATTTTCCGATCGGTGTAACATGTATTAGGAGGTTGCATCGAAAGCCGCTGTTTATGTATACGTGGATTTTACTGCGAATACTGTAGACAGTGAGAGCTGTCGTATATTATGAGTTGTTAAAACCACGTGAAACAGTCACCGCTGAAGGTAATTGCCAACAATTGAAGCGTTTACACGATAATTTGATAGAGAAACGACCGTCAATTGCATGAAATCGACGAAAAGTGATCCTTCTTCGCGACAATGTTCGGCCTCATGTTGCCGTGATTTTTATTAATATTTAATCGAAGACTAAATGTCGCTATATGCATCGTAAATATTCAATTAATTCGGATATGTACATATTTAATGCATTTTAAAGTTTCAGATTATTATACCAATGGTTTTCGAGAAAGCAATATTTCCCATCATGAAAAGTTGAGAAAAAGTAATCGTCAGATATTTTTCTATATTTTAATATCTATTGATTGGAACAATTAAAATTTAATATTTTGTGCGAAATGGAATCCTTAAACCCGTATAATCTAAGAACTGGAAAACTTATATATATATTGTTCCTAATAACACAAAGGCGCGTATTATAAGTGTTGACATTCAGTTCTTTAGTAATATATTCCGAGAATGCTTGCACATTTTGAACTGTATTGCCAATCTTGTCAAAATCTCAAGATCAAGTCAAGATCTCGTCGAGATTTCGTCAAAATCGAGATCATATCGAGATCAAGATCGAGATCGCGATCGTCTTGTACGGATCGCTAAGCAAAAGGCTCACATCAGAAGCTGGTCGCGGCGGTTTGAACGTGCTCTTAGGCTGTCGTCAGGTTCTTATCGCGTCTTATCCTCGAGGTGAACGGCCGAGTAGTTCGTTTCCAGGAAACCGCCGCTACTTCGTGTCCATTCAATAACGGAGAATCCGGCTTTTCCTACTTTCTCTCGTGTACGCGCGAGCGGTCCGACGCACGGTCGCGTTCGACGAAGCGTAACGCGTTCTCGTGAACTTTCACCTTGGGATTTCCAGTTCGGCCGAGGCTCTGGTAATCACGTCGAAAACGTTGAATC